AGGAAGTAAGCATGGAGCACTGTAGTTCAGAGAAACAGATTGCAGATGTCATGACCAAAGCTCTCTCCAAGGGCAAGTTTGAAGTATTAAGGTCAAAGCTTGGAGTATCCAAGAAAAATCTCAAGGAGGAGTGTTAGGAATTGAGATTTTTCTAGAATATTTTAATATTAGAATATATTTTTGTTTTGTTTTACCTGCTACTGTTTGTTAGGTAAAGTTATGAGTTAATGCTTAATTTGAAGAAGAGTAGTTGACATGGTCAGATTTAAGTAGAAAAAAAGTGTTGCTCCTTATTTTGTGTTGTCTTATTAAACAGCTTTTGTTAAAATCTATTGCAATGTATATTCAACAAATGTAATGAAATGACATTACGCATTCTTCCTCCATTTATCTGGTTTCATAACAAATCCTTCTAGGAGGAGCTTTTTGCCATCGGAAAATTCACCATCAGCATCACCATCATCCATTTCTATGGACAAGCCTGACATGCAGATAACCATGGCATCATCAACATCTTCCTCCTTGTAGCCAACACTACATATAGCAGTGTTGTTGGTACAAACAGAAAGCTTGGACAAGTTTTGGGGATGTGGATGGTGATAATGATGATGATACCTATCATCCACATCGTTGTCAAAGTCATCATCTTGCAAAGAAGACTGAACCTAAAAGGTCTTGGTGTCATTGGAAGTCACAGACTACGGTATACTAGGCTATGTACGAACAAGTATTGTGGTTGTGTGTGAGAGAAGAAAAGAAGAAGGGTTGTATGTTGCTGGGTATTGTGAATCGTATGTTTTTCATTTGATGGTAAGGCATAGAAGGGAAGAGACAAGCCTATTATTAGTATATGCCTAACCTTCATATATAATATAAAAGAAAAGAAAACTAATTATGAGAATCTCACGGAACCTTCTTCTGCGTCGTTAGTGGAGTGGGAGATAGTGTTTGTGTTTAACATCCAACCAATAATTATGAAACCACAATAGGTAGGGTATTTACCTGTTATACGGGTACGGGTATGAGTGTGGGTAAAAATCCACAAAATTTAATGGAGATGGGTGCGGGTATGGGTATCTAAGTATCCACCCCGCCCCATACTCGCATATATATATATATATATATATATATATATATATATATATATATATATATATGCTTGAACTTATTCTACAATTATGCATTGAATTTTTGTATTATTATATTACATATAAAATTAATATAAAAATATATTTAATAATAAAATAAACCAAAAAATTTATTTTGGTTTATATTTTTAATAGAACAATTTATTTACTATTTTATATCATTTAATTAGGCTAATATAATTTAATTATTACATAGTTAATATGAGATTGACTTTTTTAAAATATTATTTATATATGACACACATAAAATATTTTTTACACAAATATTTTTGTTAATAAAATTATATTGATGTTTAAATCATAAAGTGAATGATAAATAATAAATATATTGTAAATATTTTATAAATTTTACAATCACCTATTATTACCATAAACTTATTTTTTATTAATAATATTTAAATTTTATTTTTTATATTTTAATTTAAAATAATATTTTTCTATGCAACATATGTATTACAAGCACAACTATAATCTATTGAATCTAAATAATATTATTCTTACTATTTATTCACGTTTAAAGAAGTTTTTGAAAAGATATAAATATAAAAAATTATTGTTAATTTTTATTTGTTAATTTTTTTTAATATATACGTATATTTCTTTATTATAAAATTTTATTGTAACTATTTATCTTTTTTCAAATTCTTTCTTTTAAAATTTATATACATTATAAATATTTAATTCATTAAAATAATTTTTCAAAACTTTATATTTTTGATAATATACTTTCGTATAGTATATGAGTTAAAAATACTAGTATTAATATATATATATATATATATATATATTAATTATATTATATTATTTTAATTAAATCTATTATTTTTCTTACAATTTCAAATTCAAAAGTTAAAAAAAATATTTTATGTATCCACTTTCTGTTGTTAGTATTGAACTTCTCTACTCTAACTCGATTCTCGTTTTCAATGTTTGTCTTATTAAAATCTAACAACTATGAAACATTATTCATTAGAGTTAGTTGTCAATGCCGTCACAAGAGGTCACCAAGTGATCCCACACAAAGGGATAATCATTGTACAGATTTATTTCATTGTTGCTCTGACATTGTCAATCAATCAAATCTCACACAAGATAGGGTTATCACTGACAAATAACTTGTGTCTTTAGTTTCGCTTATTGTTTCTAAGAATTTTAGTTTAGAAAATTATTATATTAAGATATATTTAACATTTATAATCTTTGAATATTTATTTTTTATCTATATTTGTACCACTATATATTAAATTTTTGTATTATTACGTTACTTATGTGAAGTTATATAAATATATTTTTCTTTATAAATATTTTTTTTTTCAAACAAGCGCTGGTAATGAGTACAAGATAGATATGCGGGTACTCAGAGGGTACGGGTACGGGGATTAATGTTCATACCCACGCGGGTATGAAGCCGGGTACGTGTATTTTTTTAAAACGCGAGTATAGGTATGGAGATGAGTACTATAGTACCTTACCCATACCCTAACCATTGCCATCCATATTCTCACGAGGCAAATCGATTGCTTTATGTGGAAAGTAAAGCGAAATGTCACAAAAAGAATTCCTTTAAAAAACAATGAAGTTTGAAACATTAGGCTATGCTAGTGAATGACTTGGATTCTTGGTGCACAGGTCGCATGGATAATTTTAGATAAATAACATACCTAAGGTGATACCGATGATTATATTCATTAACCCTTTTGGAGGCGATGCAATCCCAAACATGAGAGGGAACTTATATTTTATTAATGTTACTGTTAAAGAAACCGGTGGATTATTATTTTTATTATTTATTTATTTTCTGCTCGACGTGGAGCATTTTATTCCTATAACACTTTAAAAGAGGATGAGACTAAAAAAATTGAGGATTTCAATTTTTTTTAAGCTTTGAGGATCTACTCTGATAGAATTTATAGATCTTATGAGATATCATACGTTAGTGCCAGAATCTTTTTAAAATCTCATGTGCCCACTGACTTTTTAACTAGTAACTTTTTTACCAAACTAAATTTTCAACGAGTAACCATACACACCATCACTCATCTTTCTTCTTTACTTGTGTCGATAGCATCATCCCTCATCGTAACATGGTTCAGATCAGAAAGTACAGTTTGGGCCTGATTCTTCAGTTTTATGGGTTTAGCTAACATATCCATTCTTGTCCACTAAATCTGACTATGGAAAATGAAGAGAAATTTTGGGCCTAAAAAGTGAGCATAATGGAAGCAGACAGTGACACACATCTTAATCTAGAGCACTAGCCCTGTCCACTTTATATAAACGAATGTGAATAACAAATTTCAACTATATAATAATATATGATTAAAAGTCAATTAGAATCACATAATTAATTTTAAAAGTCATGTGATTGTTTTAACACTGTTATACACACACACACATATATATATATATATATATATATATATATATATATATATGCATGTATGTATTGAGATTTATAATTTTTTATATAGTCGAGACAGCTACACAAGTTGATTTGAGTAGTTATGATAGCAAATTCTTACTTAAATATATTACAGCGGTAACTTATTGAGTTGGATGAGTTGACTAGTTAGTTATTAACAGTTTTGGTTAGTTAGATATATTAGCTACAACGTAACTCTAATATATTTACACATAAGTGACTCACATTTACAATAACATATTGAATTGAAATGGGAGATATATTGCTTGCAATGCGTTGTTTAGGATAATGTTTCAGCATTCAAGTGTTTTAAAGGAGCTTGAAGATATGGGCAGGGCATAGAGAATGTGGCCCTTGTTAGCTTGGAAGTCATTGTCTCATGGCACGGAAATAAGTTACTTTCAATTTATCGGTGGCTTTGAGTGGCGTCACTTAACTTGCACGAACGTGACCATGCTAGTCTTTTATTTGTCACAGAGAAGAACTACGAATAGGTGTTCAAATGTCATACAATATACACAGCCCATCCAACTAAAACTATTCAGAGGGAAACGATCCTTCTTTTGTTCTTTTCTTAGTAACTAGAGGAAAAAATTATTCATTTGTAACTTCTTTAAAGGAAAACTAACGGTCTTATTTTACTAATGAAAAGTAAATATTGCCGAAATAAATTCTTTTAAGTTCAAATTTTACATGGTAAGTTAATGTATAAACTTTGTCTTTTTCTATCTTAATATACAATATTCTCTGTTTGGATAAGGGGAAAGAAAATTATGAATAATAATATAGTTTTTGTTTGGTTGAAGAACAAAGAAAAAAAAGAGAGAGAAAAGTGATTTTTAAAAATAATTTAGAACCTTCTCTTTTTTATGTTCTTTTCAATTTAATTTTTTACCTTCCAAGATCTATCCACTTTACTAAATCGAGGCTAAATAAGTCAACCCCATAAAAATTAATAAACATAGAGATAAACACAAAATTTATGCATGATATCCTCTCCCAAAACTTGCTTACACAGAAAGCATCAAGGCTACAATGGAAGTGAATATATTATTGTAGTGTCTAGAAAACGATGGACAAGCATTAGAACCTTGGATTGGTAATAGTACCAGCTACAATAGTTTATTGTCATTTTCTGTAGTATGAAAGTGAGAAGAGAAGATCAAACGGGTAGAAAAGATTCAGAAAAATGTCTGTAGGTAAAGTAACTAAGTCAGTCCCTGGCATAAAAATGAAAATGAAACTTGGCATGGACCAATAAACATCTGTGATGGCTATGGAAATGCACCATTGCGGTTACAGTGTAGCAAAGAAAAAAGAGTAGAAAGAAGACAGGAAAACAATCCTTATTCTACAATTCTACCCCACACCCGAGAAGAAGAAAGTAAAGACAAATGGTTTGGCTCACAAATGTTAACAAAGTGAAATGTTTTGTATCAGACCTATGTACAAGACCAAAATCTGTTGTTTCACACACCTGTACTAAGAATAGCAACAATCCCTTGAATTGGAACTCCTCTAAAATATTTTGTTTTTCTCCAACCCTTCTACATGTGTCCAAAAGCTGCCCTGAGCTTATGGATGTCCTTAGAAAAGATACTAGAAGTTTGTGACAGTTCTTGCTGTTTGGTATGAGGTAATATAGCCCCTAAAGTGTCAGATACCAAATGCATGGATGGCTTTACCTCATTGCATAAAGATTCAGGGGCTTGGTTTTGTACAGAAGCCAGCATTGAGATTGGATTGTGAATGTGAAGGTACTCATCCCACTTAGCTTCTTCTGTATGGTTTTCCATCATATGAATTTGGGCCTCTTTAGTAGAGGTGTTACAATCTGCCAACCCCCAAGAAGAGAGGATACTGTTCTGTACGTTCATGGGGCTGCTACTTCTCAACTCTGTGCTGCTATTACTCCTATTGCTGCTATTGCTATTGATGGAGGCACTGGCTTCCCAATAATGGGATCCATAGGCTGTGGAAACATTGTCAGAGGGAACAGCAAGTGAAGGTTTGTAGCAAAAAGAATTAGGAAGAAACATGTTGGTTGTAGGGGTAAGAACAGAAGTGGCATTGAAAGGAAATTCTGAGTTCATATCAAAAGGCCTTCCAGTTTGGCTGAACCAATTACTAGAGTTTGAATCATTTGGAAGAGACTCAGTGGTGGCATAACTCATCTGAATGGGAAAATTCCCCATCAAATCTGAGGGCTGGTAGCTTTCCTGGCGGCTACTCATAAACCTGTCTAGGAACAAGTCTTTGCTGTAACAATTGGTCATAAAATTGCTGTCACATTTGCTATAAATCTTGGAGCTGCAAGAACCAGAACCATCCATCTCGGGTGCGTGGGCTTTCGGGGAAATTGATGATGTTCTTTGCTCATAGGAAGCTGCATCTGACTTGGAGCTCTCTGATTTCAGTAGGTTCAGTTCATTGGATACTTGTGGTGCTTTCTCTTGGCTCCTACCATCGTCCTCTCCATTCTCAACCTGGGACAGTGGTTTATGTGTCACAGGGTCTATACCCTTTTGCCTCAGTTTCTTCTTCAAGCAAGAGTTCCATAGATTCTTTATTTCATTGTCAGTCCTCCCCGGCAATTGTGCTGCAATTTGAGACCATCTGAAACAGCACAAAATATGCACGTTAAGGAAATATAAACCAAAAAAAGTTACCCACACGAGAAAAGGCAAAAGAGATAATTCAATCATGAGAGAAACTGAGTTACCTGTTCCCTAATACTGCATGAAGTTCAATGATAAGGTTCTCTTCTTCTTGTGAGAATGTTCCTCTCTTTAAATCAGGCCTTAAGTAATTGATCCACCTAAGCCTACAGCTCTTACCACACCTCTGCAAACCTGCCAAAATACATGTCATTAACAAGAAAATTAATAACCATTTTTTGTTTATAATATGATAAACATGATTAAAGGAGGAGGATTTTGATTACCTGCTTGCTTAGGCACAGAACTCCAACATCCATGACCATACTTGGTAATATGCCTCAGAAGTTTTTCATCCTCCTCAGGTGACCAAAGACCCTTTCTAAGCTTCTGCTTGTAACAGCAAGAGTGTCTTCCCATTTTGTAGTTTTCCCTTTAAACCTTTTCGGTTAACACAAAGTTTGTTTATTCCTATGAAATGTCAGAAGGGGTGGCACTGAACCTAAGCTATAGGAGGGGCTGTGATAGAGAGAATGTGAGGGAGAGTGATGATATGAAGAAAGGAAAATGAACTGGCAGCTTAGAAAAAGAGTTGAACTAATATAAGAGCGAGGCCCCATGAGAGATGTCATAGTCAACAAGGTTCCTTGTATTTTCTTTCTTTATTTTATTTCAATGTATATATGGGTTGAATTACAATTATATGCTTCATCTATCTGATAGAAATTCAACAATGTGAAATGGGAATTCTTGTTGTATATATGTTTGAGTTGAAAGAAAGGCAAGGTGAAAAAATGAGTTGATAAAATTGAACAGTATAGCGTGTCTTTTCGAAGGTGTGAACATTGATGTCTCTTGCAAGAATGGTGGGGTACTTTCACTTATATTAAAATCAAGTGATGACATTATATTATAAAAAATGCTTGTAACTGAAGATAAAAAAAATTGATACTTAAAGAGTTACAGCAGGAACTAACGTATTAAGAAGTGGCAGAAATTATTTTACTTGACTGACTGAGACTCATTGTTTAAAACCTGAATTATATTTTTTTTGTAGTCTCCTGAAGAAAAAGACAGCAATGGGAATATGCAAAGATGTAGCAATTAAAAATAGCAATAGGAAAATTTCCGTGTCACAAGCTACAGTTCTGGCCGTCTATGTCTGTGAAAAGCGGAATGCGAAATACCCTTATGCTAGTGCTGGAAAACTTGTGTCTGAAAAAAAAGGATCTATCTATTCTTTACTCTTTGAGCTTTATGTGCAATTCATCCATGTCATGATTTCTATGAAAAGTTCCATCACAACGTGGAAAGAACAATGTTTTTCTTTTGATTTTTATTAGAAATAATGCATGTTATCCTTTATATGTTGAAATTCATTGAGTGCTGCAGATTACTCTTCTGATCATAGTTTCCATTTTCAAAGGTAACATGCTTTTATTTCTTCTTTTGTCTGCACTCATTTAAAATATTGACTATTATTTTACAAAGTAAGAACAAAATTAATATAAGATTGAAGTTATATACAGCGATATTGATCACGTAGACGCATAGATAACGGGTTATAGCTATAGAATGAAATTAGGAAAGTATTCTATTAGTTCCCTCGTGCTAACTGTTTTGAATACTGTAGGAATGTATCTGTATTTTACAAAGCATCTTTTTCTCAATAATTAACCTACCACTTTTAAGCAAAAATTTTATTATAGACAACTAACTATTGGGCGCATTAGTGATTTCACTTAAAATTAATTTTATAATGGTTTTATTAAAATTTCATTAACTCCACAACCATCCCACCGGCATGTATGGTCTTCACATGTGCAACAGTTCTTTGTACAAATGAAATTAAAGTTCCGCTTTTATTTCTTCTTTAATTAATTAGACAGAAACTTATTCGAACCGTTAAATAAACGCTCTTTTCTTGATTATGAACATTATATCATCCGGTAGCTGAATTTGTCGGTTGAAAATTTTAGCACAATTATCTATAATTATATATTGACCAAAGTTTCACTCATCCAATATAATTAAGCAACTTATATTGATTTGCCCATAAGGTGGGAAATATTCCTTGATTAGATTTCGTATCATTATTTCCAACAAGAAACAATATGCTTTTGTAAAAATCACAAGAAGAAATCAAAGGAATTCTAATATTTGCACATTAATAACAAAGTCTTGCAACAAAACATGTTCATATTGTCTATTGAGACGTCTCTGCCAAGTAAAACTATTATTTTTTCTCTGAAATTTGGGCATGTTTGATCACGTTAAAATATTTAGTATTAAGTTTTCATCAGTTACAAACTAAACGCTGAATTTGTGAAAGTATAATTGTAAATGCTAAAAGCCTGAAAGGAGAAAATTAATAATAGTGCTTATTCGTGTGTGTGTGTGTATATATATATATATATATATATGTATATATTCTATATGTATGTAATGTATACATACAGAAATGCACAAAGCACATGTTTATATTTTATAAAGTTAAAGCGCAAATTAAGGGTTGTGGTGTTCCTCTTTCTGTTGTTTTATTTGTTTTTCTTTATAACTTAATTTCCTCCATATGCTGCTTTCTGCATAATTTTTGTTACCTTTTCTCAAAAACCAAGACAAGATAAGAATTAAGAAGCCATCTATACATAAAAAAAGGAAAGAATATTCTCTTCAACTCGACCTAGAACTTAATCAGAATTAGAAAGGGGAAGAACATTAACCTATTAAGGAAGGCAAAATTCATCAATCTGACATACTTTATAGTTAAAAATAACTCAAACAAGCATAACACATTAAAAAACAGGGGAGGAGGGACTCTGAATTATTGCATATCATTAGCTGTCGACCCTGTGGCCCGCATGAACTGTAAAACCTATATATATAATATATACTTTTCTCGAATCAGATATTAATAATTTTTTATGCTCTTTAGAGACTTGGATGAATCTCTTGTTAGTTGTTTTCCACCATGCAGATGTAGTTGCCTCATTTGGAAATTTAATTGTCCAAGAGAAATCAGTGTCATATGTTATCGGAGCCAAAAAAATGCTTTTATTTATCTGATCTAATGTAATGGTGTAGATCTTTCGGTTTTGGGGGCTTTGCCCCACATTTATTTAAAAAGTTATATGCTAACATCAACGGTGTATGCTCGATCCACCCATTCGGCTCCTGCCTTCCACTTCACGGCTTCATTAATCGCTCAAATAAAACCAAAAATAAATGAAAAGTGTCGATTTATCCCAAAAGAATTAAGTGAAGTTATGTGAATTAATATGATTTGTTAAATATAACTTCTGAGTGTGATTGGTAATCAAAAACATAGATAAAGTTTTTCTAAGAAAACTTTTGAAATACATAAATGAAAGCTACATATGAATTAATGTTGATTAAATTTATGAAAGACTAATGTTAAAATACATATCTATGTAGTTTAGAAGTTTAAGGTGTAGTGGTTTTCCAAAACTTATACTGCCCATTTATTTATTTTTTTCTTTTAACTATGTGAGAATTTCTTGTATTAAATAATGTTGCTGAACCCAAAAATTATACTTTAAAAAAATCCTTTTTATAAATATATTTCACACATTATAAGTAAAGTTGTATATTTTTTTTCTTGTGATGACCTATAAAGAAGATATATAGATTATAAATAATAAGTAAAGATGGAAAGTTTGTCATTATTTATTTATTTATTTATTTTGGGGGGAGGATTTGCTTTAGCATCAGCAAGAATCAACTTTATCAGGAGTTCGTCCATTTGACCCTTGTAAAGTTATCATCATAACCAACTAGACTGCATAAAGTTTAACACTTATAATAATTAAAAAAAGATTTTTGATATATATAATTATACTAAGGTTAATTTAAATTATATAATTAATTTTTAAAATTACACAACTTTTATATTTTAATCATAACTATCAATGATAAAACCTTATTATTATGTTCCTTGTGTAATTCAAATTACTCGAACGAATTTCTTTTAATAGTTTTCAACAATATGTTATGATCTCATGAAAATTACATAAAAATTTCACCATTAGCACACTTTTAGTGTCGTAAAATTTAATTGTTAGAACACGAAAGAAAAGCAAAGCAGCAGCTTAAACCAGTGCGTCGTTGTTGGCGGCTGATTAATTACCGAAGGGCCTTCCACGTCACATTAAATATTCGACCTTCATTGGTGCTGTGCGGCATATATATATATATATAATTTATGAATATAAGAAAGTTTTTAAGTCGGTAAGGAGGTGGAAAATTTGAACCCTTGGTTTGTGGCATGGAGATAAGCAAATATTTTCTAGCACCATATGTATGCATGCATGCTTACAAACAGACACCCAAAGGCATCTCCAATTTATTTCTTCCTTCCAAAAGAAGAGAAAAGAAATGTCTAATGGCATAAAAGTAGCACAAATGAAAAATATGCCTAAGAGCGTTTGGAAGAAACCCCAAATAAAGAAGAATACTAGAACCTTTTCCTTTGTACATTATAATAATAGGTTGTCCCTTTGCCATATTATTATTATTATTATTATCGCGTGGCCTCCTTCACCCTAACAATATTCTATTAAATTTGGCGTACGTAATAATATATACATTATTCAATCATAAAATGATTAAAGAATTAAACTGCATATTTTTTTAAATAAAAAAAAAAGGGAAAAGATTCTTATAATCCCTCCGGCTTATCGTCATCGTCATATTATACAAATATACCCTCTGGCGAGTTTTTCATATTCGTGCACATGAGCTGCTTCCCGGAGTCAACTACATTGTCCATACTGTTTAGATATATTCATAAAAATATTTGTTACTTAGTAATTGACGTTTCTTTCCTTTATATAATAGTTTAAGACACCACATCTGCCCTCATTATTGGATGAATTTTGCATTCCATTAAATATAAAACCTGGACTTAGGTTATGTGAGAAAATTTACATAAAATTTCTTTAATAATAAGAAATGTGTAAAAAAGAATTTTAATTCATACAAGTATGTGAAGTAATGAGATACCGAGACAAGGAGGGATAACGAGAACAGAATGAATTCATTACATTCTTGGGAATTTTTTTAGAGGTTTGTGTCGTGATTTGTGCATGAAACAGAGGCTAACATTTTTACTGGGAACTGCGACACAGAGCTTGGAGGAAATGGTTTATCTAACAACATTTATTACATGAAACGCCAAACACAAATAGAATGCAGAGTCGTCGGTGCATTGAAAAGAAGAGATCGAGCACAGTTGCAGGAAACAAGAAAGAAAATTAATTAAGAGCGGTGGGAACAAAAGAGAATGATAATATAATTAACAGCTGTGGTCTCCGCAGTGAAGTTGGCAACCGCGGAAGATTTCGCAATGGCCTACCAACATGGGGTTTAGTTGAGACGTATATGTATGTGGCTGCGTAAACTTTCAATAATGTATGCATGCATTGCTTAAACTAATTAAATCATATCACACGCGTGTGCTTATCATCCCCTCCTATCCTATCTATTTCAAATTTAGGTATTTGGTATTCGTATGACCTTTGTCCCCTCT